CCTCTTTCTCATGTCTTACATTTAGTATGAAGAGGTTAGGTCAAATTCAAGGAAAAAATTGACCACATTTGACTAATAAATAGATCTAAACATTTATGAGCCAAAATAGAACTATACTGAGATTGCGTATATTATTAATTAACTACTTAATGTCTCAATTCTCTTTATTACGCATTGAAAACGATAAAAGGGGCAAGGTTGACACCAAAACTTGTCCTAATAAAAACAACCTCTCCTACCATAAATAGGATTACGAGAAAACCTCCGCTATTATTAGACATAAAGGTTGAGTCTAAATCAACCACAGAAAAAGCAAGTTTTGGTCATATCATCTGCGATTGGACATGATATTAACTACTTAACTGTAGGCTATAGAAATATGGAGTATTTGGTAATAACAGTTGAGTAAGAAATCTCAACCTTAATAGAAGAATTAATCTATTATGGGACACCAAAATAGATTAAAGAAACATTACCGTAATGTGATAATAGAAGAATTAGGTCTTTCATCACTTACATTAAAGCTTTTCCACAAACGGCAATAAGTATTAATGTCTACAAATCCAAGTTTTAAAACAGCAATTCTTTCATTTGAATTTGAAAAAGCTCAAAAAAGTAAATCAATCCATGTACAGAAGAGAAGGAAAGAGTTACAGTTACCATGTAGAAATGCAGACAAACTTCCCATTGCCAAATAGTCATGGACAAGAAGCTTTTCCTCTTTGCTATAGTAATAAGCCCTGAGAGGCACCAAATTCTCATGGATCATAGCACCAATGCTCTGGATTTTTTCTCTGAATTCCTTCTCAGAAGTGGCAACATCTTTCAATCTCTTCACTGCCACTACCGCCCCTATCTCCAAAACTGCCTTGTAAGTTGTTCCGAATGTCCCCTTACCTAGAACCTCCGCAGAAGCTCTCAATAGATCTTCCAAATCAAACACCTTCATATTACTTTTCCCAAAGAACAAAAGCTTCTTAGCAACATCTCCACCTCCGCCGCTGCTCTCTTCTTCCTTCCCATTCACAGGCAATGGCTCTACATCATCCACAGAAAATCTGTTATGTGAATCTCCATTTTCACTCTGAATCATTGGCTTCTCTCCAGAAACGTCCTGTTCCTGCTGAGGATGCTTAAATGTAGGAACGTCCATAGAACGCGATTTGTACTTGCCGCCTCTCTTCCTACATAACATAAACAATGCAAACAGGAATAGAACAAATCCGACAACAGATCCTATCACAATCCCTGCAATGGCTCCTCCTGAGAGCCTGTGTTTAGATTTACCGACTTCTATGCCGCCTGTAGCAATGGCTGGTGGAACTGTCTGCCCTTGACATAGGTGCAGGAGAGGACTCCCGCAGAGTGAATTTCCAGAAAAAGCCTCCGCTGGCATCCCTCGGAGGCTCTTCGGTACCGTCCCATTCAAGTTGTTGAAGGAGACATTAAACTGCTCGAGATTCTGGAGGTTTAGGTCCGGAATGGACCCGGAAAACTGGTTGTTCTCGAGATAGAGGGTGCGCAAACGGGTCAAGTTGCTGAATCCGGAAGGGATTTCGCCTGAGAAGTTATTGTTAGCAAGGTTTAGCCTGACCAGAGCGTGAAAGCCAAAAATGTAAGCCGGCACAGGTCCAGAGAATTGGTTCCCCTGGAGGTAGAGGTTCCGAAGCTCCGTACATTGGTCGAGGTCTGAAGGGAGAGGGCCGGAGAGGCGGTTGAGGCGGAGGCTGAGCGTACGGAGGCGCGTAAGCTTGGAGAGAGTGTTCTCGGGAATCTGACCGGAGAGGGAGGAAGCCGGTAGCCGGAGGAAGGTGACGCGCTCGTTCTCGCATTTAACTCCAAACCAGTTGCAGGGGTCGGAGCTGGTGGTGTTCCAGAGAGCTGAAGGACGGCCGCCGACGGCGGAGCGGAAGGAGAGCAGCGCGGCCAGGTCAGTGTTCAGATCTGAGGAGGCGGTGGGTGAGAGGAGAGAGCAGAAGAACAACACCAGCATTGGCAGCTTCATGTCAGCTTGAATCCACATTGTTGTTTCTGCAAACAAAAATTGAAATGGAAGCTTGAACCTTAGTGGTTCATAGCAGATCAAAGTTCTGACTGAGAATTTAGGAAAGCTCCTGAGATATCTTAGTTGGAGTTTTGCAAGAGGTTTTGGAAGTGACTGAGTTGAGTGACAGTCTTATTATTACTCTAAAAAAGTAATGAGAAATTGTTATTACAAGGATAGATGGATCTCATTCAATTCAATTTTCAACCATTTCTATATCTTTCTAACATATGTGGGGTATGTCACCGTGAGATGCAATATTACGTACTTTTCTCAGTTCTTAAATAAATGCAACGATCAACATTTTACATTTGTCGAGACACAACTTTGACCATTAATATATATATATATATATTTATATTAGTAAAAAAATTAAAAAAATTAGATATTAAAAATTTACAATGAGATAAATTTAACAATATTTTTTTCATAAAAATATATTCATACATTAATAAATAAAACGTGGTCAAAGTAGAACATGTGAATAGTGTAAAATTTCATATGTTGCATTTATTTAAGAACGAATGTAGTATTTATTAAAGTTTCAATATATAATGTAGGGAAAAGTATCAAATAAGTTCTCGAACTTTCATAAAAAAGTCAATTAAGTCCTTCTATAGGAGACTCTGTCCGGCCGTCGTGATTTGGGACGGTTTCCGGTGGAATTTTTTGATGAAATTTTTTGAGCATCTTATTCATCAAGTCTAGTTTACTCATCCAAATTTCAGCTACAAATTTAATCGGGAGCGCATTCAAATTAATTCGAGAACACAAAAATGCGCAGTTATCTTCAAGAATTAATTTGAATGTGTTCTCGATTGAATTTGTAGCTGAAATTTGGTACTATTTATGACCTTTTTATGAAAGTTCGAGGACCTATTTGACAGTTTTCCCTATAATGTATCATCACACGAAATGAAATATTTCGAGTTTATTTGCTAATTAAATAAATAATTCCCAAAATATTGTTGGGTTATAAATAATTCGCAAAATACTGTTGGGTTAACCGTGATTAAGGAGTTGCGGCTCTTCTCTTACAGTACAAAAATCACCACTCCAAGTGACGACTCTTCTCTTATAGCACATTTTGTACATATATAAAACGCAGTATGTTTCAAGAATTTGTTTAACTATCTTTCCGATTGAATTTAGAGCTGAAATTTGATATGAATAAACTAGACTTGATGAAGAACATGCTCAAAAAATTTCATCAAAAAAATCCACAGGGAAGACCCTCTGATGGTGTTTTCCGCACGGGGGTTCCGATCAGGCATCGTGACAGGAATGAGACATTTTTATGAAATTTGAGATGCTCCCGAGTCGAATTTTTTAATGAAATTTGGTAATCATGTTCTTCCTAAAGTGTAAATTATGTTGTAGGATGACACATGCTTCTCTAGATTACACTCTGAATTTGAATTTTCCGTTGCCTTCCAGACACGAGCTCAAGTGAATTGGGCGAAATTGTGATCCTGCAATTGAAACTTAGAGCAATAGTACCGGTTGCTAAAGTTGAATTGGTGTGGGTGTTGAAACTATTTCCAATGCGCATAAAATGCCCAAAGAGAGTTCATATTTATTTAGTGAGTGGAAGAGAAAGAATTGTTTGTAAGGACATAATGATGGCAGTGATAGCTCGAATCTGCAGTTGGTTCCTTTCAATCGGGAAGTTAGTTAAATAAATTTTTAAAAATTGCATAAATTTTTAGGCCTAAAATGCAGTTTTTTTCAATAAATTATTTAACTAACTTCTTGATTTAGTTTTAAATCTGAAATTCAGTGAACATAACCTACACTTTAGGAAGAACATGTTCACCAAATTTCATCAAAAAATTCGACTCGAAAGCACCTCAAATTTCATAAAAATGTCTCATTCCCGTCACAACGTCCTGACCGGAACCCCAGTGCGGACACACCATTAGAGGGTCTTCCAGGTGGAATTTTTCGATGAATTTTTTTGAGCATGTTCCTCATCAAGTCTAGTTTATTCATACCAAATTTCCGCTCTAAGTTCAATCGGGAAGATAGTTAAACAAATTCTTTAAACATACCACGTTTTATATATGTACAAAATGTGTTGTAAGAGAAGAGCCGCAATTTGGAGTGGCGACTTTTGTACTGTAAGAGAAGATCCGTCACTTGGAGTGGCGACTTTTGTACTGTAAGAGAAGCGCCGCCACTTCAAGTGACGACTTTCCTTAACCACGGTTATCCCAACAGTATTTTGGGAATTATTTTTAACCCAACATTATTGTGGGAATTATTTATTTAATTAGCATTATTTTAGGGAAAAACTCAAATATTTCAACCAAAAGTGTTTTGATAATAAAAATAAAAGAAAGTAAAGAAATTCTGATTAAAGCGGTTGGATTGGTTAAATTATGAAAAATTATATTTAACATATATGTAGTATTCTATATTTCATTACCAAAGAAAAAAATGTACATAAGTAACTAAAATGGTCATCTAAACTAACTTCAATCAATTCAATTAGAAAAGTACTTCATACTCTCATCTTATTTATTTTGATTATTAAACTATATCGTTTGTGAAATCAAAAATTACGTATGTGATATAAAAACTTATTGATAAGTTGAAAATATAGGATAATCTAATGAAAATAAGATGCTTGACTTAAATTAAAATAAATTCATTCTCTTTAGATTTGTATAAAAAAAGAGAAAAACTGAAAACATATACTCTCAAATAGTCTTTCTAATGAGGAAAAAGAAACAATTTTACTTATTTCTATTAAGTGTTGTCTCAGTTAAAATGTCTATCTTTATTAAGTTGTTTATCTCGATTAATTAACACACACATATATATATAAGGCTATTGAATTTGTGCGTAGAATAAATATGTTTAATTGAGTAAAATATTCACTCTTTTTTATGACGCTGATGTTCGTACCATTTTTTTTTTTTTTTTTTTTTTTTTTTTTTTTTTTTAACCCGGAAGGCAAACCACCAAAATCAGTGGGGTAAATGCCGGGGAACATTTACCGATTTTTATTAAAAGTAAAGAAAGGTACAAAAAAAGGGGGGGACTAGGCCAAAACCCCTCAAAAAGGTACATTCCAACGCAAAATTCAAACCTCCACGGGGGGGCTATACCTGACCCAATAGAGAGAATTACAAAAAATTAATAGGAACATCTAAAAGAAGGAAGTCCGTATAAATCTCTAAAATACGCTTGACGGGCCAGATAAGGAAGATCTTGAGGCCTGTTAAAAATTTGAAGTTGGGCCGAAGCAGCGGCCGACATATGATGGGCTACCCAATTACTTTCTCGTAAAGCATGACCAATAGATACCCCTTTCCTATTTATGTAATCCTTCATTTCCTGAAACAAGGTTTTCCACCGACCTTCTGCAACCTGAACGAAATAGGAAACAACTTGAGTTGCGTCCGTCTCTACCTGGAAATCACAGTAGCCCGATTCCACCGCCCATCGAGTTGCAATAATTATAGCTATAATCTCCGCTTCCAAGCTCGTCGATGCCGTAATCGGAAAGGAAATAGCTGCCAACATTTCCCCATCTTGATTTCTCAGAATCGCACCACCACCAGCTTTACCAGATATATACCTAGCATCGGCATTTAATTTGAAGTTGCTCTGAGGCTTAAGCCACCGAATAAGTCTGATGGAAGTGCCTGCAAGTTTAAAATATTTGTGTATAATCTGCTCCTCAAAAAGGACATCACCAATAGTTCGAATTTTAAGTTTGGACAGGCTAGCGGACCACGCTTGGGTATGAATTTTGATCTGAACAATAATCTGGCTAGAGGTTGGACTACTTTCCATAGAACCCCAAGTGAGATTAGAGTAGTTTTTCCATATAATCCAACAAATAACACCGGGAAGGTTATGCCTAAATAGGTCAATCATAGTTTTATGGGAAAACTGTCAAATAGGTCCTCGAACTTTCATAAAAAAGTCAATTAAGTCCTTCTATTGGACACTCTGTCCGGTCGTCGCGATTTGGGGCGGTTCCCGGTGGAATTTTTTGATGAAATTTTTTGAGCATCTTATTCATCAAGTCTAGTTTACTCATAACAAATTTCAGCTAAAAATTTAATCGGGAGCGCATTCAAATTAATTCGAGGACGCGAAAATGCGCAGTTATCTTCAAGAATTAATTTTAATGTGTTCCCGATTGAATTTTTAGCTGAAATTTGGTATGAGTAAACTAGACTTGGTGAATAAGATGCTCAAAAAAATTCATCAAAAAATTCCACCGGTAACTGCCCCAAATCGCGACGGCCGGACAGAATCTCCTATAGAAGGACTTAATTGACTTTTTTATGAAAGTTCGAGGACCTATTTGACACTTTTCCCTAGTTTTATTCCCAGCTTTAAACCACCAGGCCATAAGAATTTGACGAATTGAAAAACTGGTGTCTCCTCTAGAAATGCCCAAGATAGACATAAAATAGTTCCAAACTGGCCTCACCACCCCACAGCTATAAAACAGATGATCCATAGTATCATCATGCATTTTGCATAAAGGACACATGGAAGGATTGAGCACTTGTTGAAATCTGGATAATCTGTCTGTGATTGGCAGAATGCCATGAAGAATTTTCCATTGGAGAATTTTGATTTTCAACACCTGCTTTGGATGCCAGGCATGTGTAAAAGAGAACATACTAGGCTGATTATCCCTAATACACTCACAGGCAGATTTAAAAGAGAAAATACCATCAGTTTCAGGTTCCCAAACCAATTCACCATTAGAATCCGAGGTACTATAAAAGATGGCCACATGGTGAATGTGGCATATCCTTCTCCAAATTGGAGAATCAGAAACTTTAGGAAGCATATTCAGACCCCTAGGATATCTAGCCTTGATGAAATCACACCAAAGTGAAGTACCTTTTCTCCATTTCCACCAGAGCTTAATAGAGAAAGCTTTCTCTAATGAGGAAAGCGTTCTAATACCGAGCCCTCCTTCATTTGTAGGTAAGCAAAGCTTAGACCAGGCCAGCCAATGGTGTTTGTTCCTATTATTTGAGAAACCCCAAAAGAAATTTGCCAATTTCCTTTCCAGGATGGAAATAACCTTTTTTGGAAGAGTATCAGCAGCTAAAATATGTAAAGGAATAGCACTTAGGACATGTTTAATTAAAATGAGCCTTCCTCCTTGAGATAAATTCTTGCACTTCCAAGGTGTAAGCTTTGAATCGAATAGCTTAATAAAATCATCACAATACTGAAATCTATTGATGCCCTTGTGTAACTTGATACCCAAGTATTTCATTGGAAGTTCAGAACATTGCATACCCAGGATACTCTCAATGCTTCTTCTCCTTGGCATAACAATGTTTGGGGTGCCAAGTCATTTGCTTCGGTGGTGGCCAATTCAGCGGCTGATCCAGTCTGGTCGAAGAAAACACCAACGAATGTTCGTACCATTTTTAGCACAAACTATTCCATTGGCCCTGACCTGAAGTTAAACGCCAGTTAAACACCCCGTAGCCCATCAAGGGGATTCAAAGTTCAAACGAGTGAATGAATAAGTATTGCTTTCAATATTAACATAAATAATCTCAATATTGATTTAAAAAAATTATATAAATACACATTATAATATGCATCTCAATATGAAAGACTACTACATATCATTGGTTAATGATTAAGTCAGTTTTTTCACTTAATGAATAAACCGCGTTTTAAATTACGTAGTATATCGTAACTAAACATAACATAATGAGTGAACGGTTAACTTGTTATTCTCATGAAATTCATTAAATCACAGGCTATAAGAATATTTTGAAACATATTATTCTATATTTTTATATAAATATATAATTAAGAACAACACTAACAACATGTGTGATCGATAAGAGGAAGTGGTCCAGCTCACCGATCTCCGACTCACTCTCTAATCAACGAGGTCCTAAGTTCGAAACTTCATGGAATAAGTTTCATTCCTTCTTACTCATTACTCAAGTCCCCAACCCCCCAACCCCCCGAGGCAAAAAAAAAAGCTACCGATATCCCTTAGGGTTGGTTTGCATGCTTTAAAAAAAGCACTTCTCAGCTTTTGGCTTAAAAACACTTATTTTATCAAACACTACCAACTTTTATTTTTCTCGGCTTTCGTGTCAAAAGTGCTTTTACTTTTTTCTATATTACCAAAAAGAACTTATTTTACCAGACAATACTAACTTTTACTTTTCAAAATCACTTTTTATTCAAACACTATCAATTTTTATTTAATCACTTCTCCCCATTTCATTAAAAAAAGCATTTTTTTTAAGTTTCAAACGAATCCTGTTTGCCTAGGGTCTTGGCTATGTGTTGTTGGAATATTGCTGGAGTGATGCCGTGTCAAATGCAAGATGGATTGCTTAATGACATGAGGAACGAGAGATAAGTAAAAGCATTGCAAACGGGAGGATTCCAAAAACGACTAGGGGGCGGGCTTGTTTTTTCAAGCCCGCCTAGAGTATTGACCTTTCATTCTCTGTCTACCGCATTTTTTTATTGCACCTTTTATGTTTGAGATCTTAGCACATTTCGTTTTTTTTTTTTTGGATGAAATGTAAATTTGTATTAACACCCAGAGAAAAACTATACATCAAGGGTTCTAGATCTCCTAAACCCCCCCCCCCCCCCTACCTAGTGTAGGGGTAAAAAGAGGTTTTTATTTGATCTATTTAGAATCAAAAAATCAAAGGGGCCTAAGTATATAATACCAAATTGCCCCACAATCAAAACTACATCGGTGCTGCCAAAGATGCACGCACACAGATCATAATAGTTCAAATCAAACAAAAGACCGAAAGTGCAAAAACTTCAAGAGGGTCGCCATGTGCAACCATATGAATGCCGCGCCTTCTTCGTATGCAAATAGCCTCCCCACGTCAAAAAGTGATCAATTCATGCGGGTACAAGGAAAATAATATCTTATACACCACATGTTTAATCTTCGCAATAACCTCATCTTCGGTCACTATGCCATCATCAAATCTACATGCATTTCTCGCCCGCCATATGTGATATGCCGTTGCACAGAATGCAAGTCGAGTAGCCTTCGCCTTCAAGGTTGAGCCTTTGCGCTTCTTGAGAATCCATTTGACCGAGCTTTGCAGTGTAGTCATTTGGTTGTCCATGCCCATCCACTCCCTTATCTTTCCCCATATCCTGCAAGTGAAAGGACAAAGAAAAAAGAGGTGTGGCATTGTCTCCAAGTCACCCTTACAAAGGTCACACCTGTTAACAATATGCATATACCCGAGGCTATCTTGCGTAGGTAGCCTATTTCTAAATGCAAGCCATGCCATGAATGAGAACCTAGGAGGAATATATGATTTCCAAATAAAATTCATCCAAACCCGGACCGACCCCTTAGTTCTCAAAAGTTCATAAATCTTGCTTGAAATTAATTTTCCATTAATGGATCTAGAGGCTAAACCCATTATGGTGTCATTTTGATTATTAAAACAACCTTTGATCTTGTCCCTAATCAAGGCCAAATTTTTCATAAAAGTCGAGTCTCGGCTATGTGGGATAAATTCCCACACATCTTTACCATTGAGATATACGCCATTCACCCATTTAACCCAAAGAGTGTCCTTTTTAAGATGGACGTCCCAAAGAGTACGGGAAAGAAGGGCTTGGTTCCAAATTTTAGCATTACGTATACCAAGTCCTCCTTCCTCTTTAGGAAGGCATATGTCGTCCCATGCCACCTTGGCGAATTTTCCTCCCCAAAGAAAAATCCTAGCCATGGACACAATACGATCCAAAATAGTCCGCGGCACGGGAAAAACTTGCAACCAAAAAGATTGGACCCCTTGGATCACCGATCTTATTAGTTCAATCTTCCCGGCATACGAAATAGATTTCGTATTCCACGCACTTAAAAAGTCAAAAATTGTGTTTAGCAAAGGGGCATACTGTGCCACCGAGACTCTTAAAGGGGCAAGGGGAATTCCAAGGTACTTAACCGGAAACTCGCCTTGCCCAAAGTCAACTAACTCCAAAATGTTTTGGAGTTCAAATTCATTAACCCCACCTACGAAGATATTTGACTTGTTGTGGTTCACCCTTAGACCCGAGGCATCTCCAAACTCTTTAAGGGCATTAACCAGTACTTCAATGGAATACCTGTCAGCCCTAGAAAAGAGCATTAGGTCATCTGCGTAGGCCAAGTGTGAAATTTTAAGAGTCGCACACTTCGGGTGAAAGTTGAAATTCGGTCCCTTAGTTTTCCGGTTAAGTAATCGGGACAAGTACTCTAGACAAAGTACAAAAAGAAGGGGGGACATTGGATCTCCTTGGCGGATACCCCTTTTCCCTTCAAAAAAACCATAAAGTGACCCATTTAAAGAGACAGAAAATGAGGCCGAAGTAACACATTCCATTATCCATCCAACGAATCTCAAAGGGAAGCCCATACCCTTTAGGACCGAATCCAGGAAGTCCCAAGAGATGGTGTCATAAGCCTTACGCAAATCCACTTTGATCATACATCTTGGTGAGATTCGCTTCCTCATGTATCCTCTAACAAGTTCCTGAGCGAGGAAAATGTTATCTACCATGAGGCGGCCATCCACAAAAGCACCTTGGGCATGATCAATTAAACCCGGAAGGCACGGGATTAATCTAGCCGCAATTACTTTTGTGATTACCTTATACAACACATTTGTACATGAAATGGGTCTATAATCCGAGACCTTAGGAGAGTGATTCGTTTTTGGGATAAGTGCTATGACAGTGTGATTAATCTGCTTTAGCAATTTTCCCGAACGAAAAAACTCCTTAACAGCTAGGACTATATCATTTCCAACAGTATTCCAATTTGCCTTAAAGAAGGCAGATGAATACCCATCAGGGCCCGGAGCCTTATCATTGCCGATGTCGAATAGGGCATTTTTAATGTCCATCGATGTAACCGGGGCAATAAGCCTTTCGTGGGCACTAGGCTCAATTAATGGACCCGAGGGTAGAACCGAGGGGTCCAAGGCATGACATTCAGAGTTAGTACCAAATAAATCAATAAAGTAATTTACAAATTCATTCCCCACTTGATCCAAAGAAGTAGTAAGCGTACCATCCTCCAGGGTGAGTGATGCGATGGTGTTCCTCGCCAACTTCCTTTTAACGATTGCATGGAAGTATTTGGTGCATTTGTCCGCTTCTAGAATATGTGTGGCCTTAGCCCTTTGTTGGAAAAAGGCTGCCTCGGCCTCACCAAGAAAAATGGCCCTCTTTGAAGCTTCAGACAGTTGGGCCTTTAGTTCTTGATCCCCCGGATCTTGAAGTGCCATTTTATGCAATCGTTTAAACTCCTCTTTTGCCATTTTTGCTTTATTGGAAATGTGGCCAAATTCCGAGTTATTAAGAACCTTTAGGGGCCTTTTAAGGCCTTTTAGTTTCTTTATTAACTTGAATTGAGCCGTTCCCACACAAGCATGATTCCAATGCATTTCAAGAATATTGGCAAAGTCCGGATGTTTTAGCCACATATTGAAGAATTTAAATGGCTTGGGTCTAGGAGAGGAGTTTAGGAGTATTGACACAACGGATGCCGTATGATCAAACTCTACCTCCATTTCGTGGAAATGGACCCTACAGTCAATGCCATTAATTCCCCACCCTTCATTTATTAGAACTCGGTCTAATTTAGCCCAAAGTGTACCTCTGTTCCATGTAAAGAACTCCCCCGTAGATGGTGCATCTTCAAGATTATTCACTACTTTAAAGTCAAATAGATGTTGCATAACATAGGCCGTAGGGGGGGTAGGGGTTACCCTTTCGTTGGGTGCCGCTATGCAGTTAAAATCTCCACAAACCATCCATGGATCAACCAATTGGTCACCCACCGAGGTTAAATGTTCCCACAAGGCCTTTCTTTCAAGAACTGTATAAAGTGGATAGACAAATGTAGCATAAAAAGATGTTTGCGTAACACGACAAATACATCTAGTATGGACGAATTGTCTATCAAGTTCTAGGGCCAAACAATCTATCAAATTGGGGTTCCACATAATTGCTATTCGCCCTCCACTAATTAAATCAAAATTATTTATAAGCATCCAACCCGGCCATCTATTTAACACATAGTTATTTAATGCGGCCAAGTTCATTTTAGTTTCTAAAAAACACACTAAACATGCATTATTCTTTTTAATATAGTTAGTAATTAAATTATGCTTAGAGGTTTTATTCAAACCTCTAACATTCCATACCAAGATCTTCGGCATTAGGAGAGATATGGGTCCTCCGTGGTGAGTCCTCCACCTCCGGCATCCATCTTCTTGGCACTCCTCCTCCTCCTTCTTAAAAGCTCTTTATAGTAGTTGACATTATTCCTACTACAAGGGTCAAAGAAAGATAGCACGTTAGGAATAAAAACAATAGGGTCAAATTCATACCCGTTAGGACTTCGCTTGACTCCCGGCATCTTCAAGATATGGCTTTGGGTGAAATAAACCCCCGGAGCCTCCTCGCTAGCAACCAAATTGAGATCCGGTCCCACTTTGACTAGGGCTTCCCCATCCGGGAGTTCATCAATGTCAATCGTGGTAGCAAGCGGCCTCCCCCTTTGATCCATGAAGACACCGGTGACTACGTCTTTAGGATCCATCTCATAGACGCTTCTAATAACAAAACCCTTCGGCAAATGCTCAAGTAACTCCTTGCCATCCGAATCTTTTTTGAACACCATTAGATTGTGATGTTCCGTAGAGAACTTCACATTTGGCTTCGGTTTGACACCCAAAGTAGGTGTGATAAGCTCCTTTGGAATGTTAATTCCATTATATAAGACCAACGGCGAAGGGGAAGATCCATTTGTATTGGAGGTTAAACCAACTTCCAACTTTGTAAGCTTCCTTGCATTCTTGTTCTTTTTTCGGACCACCT